GGGAGGGGGGCTCCTGCAACAATGTCAACACTAAAAGTTTTGTAATTAAAAAATATAAATAAAAATACAATTGACATGTAACATTGTGTACATTTAAGGCGGTTGCAATTTGATACGTTTATGTGTTGCAATGTGATTGCCATTGTAGCATAGCTAACACCTCTGGGGCGTCACGTAATTCTTTTTTGTGGTGAGGATAATTGAGATTTAGCCCCTTAACAATAACACAACGTTGTCTGTCATCACCGTCCTGTGCGTTAGATCTCCGGGACTGACCTTTCTACTCGCTGCGAGTTTTCACCCTCGAACATCTCCCCGTTTCCCCCAGCCCAGCCCCTGGTCACCACCATCTGCTGTGTTTCTACAAGTTCAGCTTTTTTAGATTCCACACATACTTTTTTAACTTTATTTTTATTCTTGATACTATTACGGTTCCCCCTCTTTCCCCGCCCTTCCCTCCGGCCATCCCCACTCTGCCGTCTGTGCCCGTGGGCTGTGCATCCGTGTCCGNAGATTCCACACATACTTTTTTAACTTTATTTTTATTCTTGATACTATTACAGTTTCCCCTCTTTCCCAGCCCTTCCCTCCGGCCATCCCCACTCTGCCGTCTGTGCCCATGGGCTGTGCATCTGTGCCCGTGGACTGTGCATTCGTGTCCGNGCCCGCGGGCTGTGCATCCGTGCCCGCGGGCTGTGCATCCGTGCCCGTGGACTGTGCATCCGTGCCCGTGGGCTGTGCATCCGTGCCCGTGGACTGTGCATCTGTGCCCGTGGGCTGTGCATCCGTGCCTCTGGGCTGTGCATCCGTGCCCGTGGGCTGTGCATCCGTGTCCGTGGGCTGTGCATCCGTGCCCGTGGGCTGTGCATCTGTGTCCGCGGGCTGTGCATCCGTGTCCGTGGGCTGTGCATCCGTGCCCGTGGGCTGTGCATCCGTGCCCGTGGACTGTGCATCTGTGCCCGTGGGCTGTGCATCCGTGCCTCTGGGCTGTGCATCCGTGCCCGTGGGCTGTGCATCCGTGCCTCTGGGCTGTGCATCCGTGTCCGTGGGCTGTGCATCCGTGCCCGTGGGCTGTGCATCCGTGCCCGTGGGCTGTGCATCTGTGCCCGTGGGCTGTGCATCTGTGCCCGCGGGCTGTGCATCCGTGCCTCTGGGCTGTGCATCCGTGTCCGTGGGCTGTGCATCCGTGCCCGTGGGCTGTGCATCCGTGCCCGTGGACTGTGCATCTGTGCCCGTGGGCTGTGCATCCGTGCCTCTGGGCTGTGCATCCGTGCCCGTGGGCTGTGCATCCGTGCCTCTGGGCTGTGCATCCGTGTCCGTGGGCTGTGCATCCGTGCCCGTGGGCTGTGCATCCGTGTCCGTGGGCTGTGCATCTGTGCCCGTGGGCTGTGCATCTGTGCTCTCTGGCTCCTTCCTTCCCTCCTCTCGTCTCACAAGTGACTATCATGCAGCGTTTCCCTTTCTCTGGCTGCCTTATGCGACTTAGGTCCACCCAGATTGTCCCAAATGACAAGATCCCTTAGTGTCTCGCGGCCGCACAATACTCTGGGTGGGTGGGTGCGTGTGGGCGCGTGAAGCGGGCGGCTCCTCCCTGCGCCGCAGCACCGCCCCGGCCGCCCCCTCAGGTGCTCACGCGGGGCCACCATTCCCGCAGGTTGACGCTATCGTCCTGGTCTCTGGGCCTGANCGTGCCCGTGGGCTGTGCATCTGTGCTCTCTGGCTCCTTCCTTCCCTCCTCTCGTCTCACAAGTGACTATCATGCAGCGTTTCCCTTTCTCTGGCTGCCTTATGCGACTTAGGTCCACCCAGATTGTCCCAAATGACAAGATCCCTTAGTGTCTCGCGGCCGCACAATACTCTGGGTGGGTGGGTGCGTGTGGGCGCGTGAAGCGGGCGGCTCCTCCCTGCGCCGCAGCACCGCCCCGGCCGCCCCCTCAGGTGCTCACGCGGGGCCACGTTCCCGCAGGTTGACGCTATCGTCCTGGTCTCTGGGCCTGAGAAGAGCAGCCGTGTGAAGACGGGGCGAGCGCAGGAGGCAACCAATCGAAGTGTCTCTCACATCGATGTTTCCCTCCCCCCCTTCCACTCTCTCTAAAAAATCAGTGGAAAAAATATCCTCAGCTGAAGATTAACAAAATAACAACAAACTGTGTTCCTGAGGCAAGACGTCTTCTTTCCCACCTTCCATTCGCCCAAAGGGTGGAACGGTAGCTCCTTCTTTTCAGTGCTATGAGGACGTGACGTCACCCTAGGGACCTGCCAGCGCTCCCCGGTCATTACCCAGCCAGCCCCGGGAACAGTTTCCCAGCTCTGAGTTACAAAGAAAAGTCAAAGCCCAGGTCTGCAGGAGACTGTCCATCTCTGGCCTCCCCGGTCCCTGATGTGGAGCCCGATTCCCGGAGATGTCACCCACCCCCGCGGGGCGCGCTCTGCCACCCACGGCACCCCTCAGCTGCCCAAGCCGGTTTCTCGCC